CTTTCAATTGCTCTAGCGAATATTCATTCTTCCAAAAGACACCAAGAAGAACTAAGTTACTAAACAAACACAACGTAAATAAGGGTCCTAACTAAGACGATCACGCCAAAATATTACAAACGGCCTATTATTAAACCTTTAGAGAGATCATTTAGAAAGATCTAAATATAATTTATTAATCCTGGTCACATATATATAATTTTTAATATAAAGCGGAATATAATGCATTTAGTATTTTATATATTTATTACTATGAGAGGGGGGAGAGCGTTACAATTTGGTGCCGTGACCAGGATATATTTTAAAAAAGAAGGTCGTCTACATAAGAATTATGAGGTAGGCATTATGCCTACAATTTGTTGTCCGTGAAATGGAATGGTGTCTTGGAGGATGGTGTTTGCTGGGGGTGGTTGTGAGTCTGGGGGTGGGGCTTTAATATTAATATTGATTTTTATTTGTTATAAAAGGTGTGTGCATAATTAATGCGAAATAAAATATAAAGTGAAATAAATGAGAAGACGCAGTAACATTTGTGTAAGTGAAGGACATAACAGTGCTAAAAACTGATAAAAGTATATAAATATAAAATGGTTAAAACAAAGAAAAGTTCTAACTTAGTGAAGGCTAAGCCTAAAAATGAGTTTAAGATGCTTCAAAAATTAATTAAAAATGCAGTGAAAACCTTTGAGGTTAAAATAATTTCTCGAAGAAAAGTTTATTAACCAAACGAAAGTTCACCAAATTAAAGTAAACCAAGAAGAGGTGTACGGGGCGAGCACCTCACATGTCACTGATCCTAGACGAAATATTTTATATAACATACATAATGTGACAACAGAAAAGCTGAAATTGGAAATGAAAATACTCATCCAGTAACATTTTATAAGATCTCACCAATTAATTAAAGGACGTTCCATCTAATCTCTATATAATCGAAAGTTATGAGCAAGATTTAACTTAAAATTTTAGGAAAATTATTAATTTAAGTATTTTATTATATTAATTCATTAAAACAAATAATGTTCATGTGTGATATTTGTAATAATTTAAATTAAATAGAGAGAATTATAAACCTGGGTCAGTACGCCTGACTCAATAACATTTAATTTCAAGCAGCCACTTAAACTAAATAGTAAAAGTAAACATAATGTCGGACAAAATAGATAACAAGTGCGAAAGAATTTAAAAGAGGCAAGTCGCATTAGAAACACAAAATTTGATAAGCGTAATAAATTAATGAAATATCACATTGGCGATTTAGTAAAAAGTTCTAGATCTAGTAAATAAGATGCAGATAACAAAGTTATGAGTAAATTTAATTTGGTGTATGAAGGGCCTTATATAATAGCAGCCGTACCATTTGACAATGTACTTTAATATACTTTAGCAAACCCAGAAACAAATGAAATTATAGGAAATTTTGATGCTATTCATTTAATAAAATATTTTAAATAATAGTTTTGTTTTATATACATACTAGAATAAATACTGTAATATAAATTGGTCTCGTGGGTGGCCCTTTGAGAAAATAAATTTAAAATTATTAAAGTTATGAGCAAAACACAAAACTATTAAAAATAAGAAAAATGATATAATAATTATATTATCGACTATCTGTAAATATTGAATGTAAGATAAATTTGAAAAATATTTTTATTTGAATAAATTTGGGGAGTTGGGTCAGGGTGAATGGCTCAATCAAATTTATCCTGTGGGTGTGTAGCCATCTGATTTCAACTCATATTCAAAATACTGTACATATAAAGACGGCATTGATGCATAAATATTTCAAAGACTTAAAAATGTAAGTCAAAAACTAAAGAGAACCACTATATTAACGACATAATATACAATAAATTTAGCAAGATAACGATTTATGGTTTATCGCATTGGGATAGATGTGGTTGAAAGGGTGTGTGGCGGCGGCCATTCCCTGGGGTAGGTGGGATAAAAATATATACTGAATTGTAACAGATGGAAAGAGGAAAGAACAGATACACATAAGTTCAAAATTTTGAGTGTAGTGCATATGCTCTCAATATAGTAAAATTTTATATCAACGACTCTCACAGTGTGGGTCATTAACATAAAATTTGGGGGTGGATTGTGACGGCCCAATATTATTATTAATAATTAAATTCAATATAAAGGGGCGTCAAAAAAAGTCCTAAAAGATATATATTAAGCAATTAAGTTAAATTAATAAACATAAAGTTAATATATTTCAGACACTATCCCAATAACATAGTAAATTAAAGGCAAACTTATTGTTTTTCGTAATAAATAAATTTATTTAAAAACTTGAAAAAAATATTTAAAATAAGATAAATAATATAAATACAAGTCAAAAAATATTATAGAATTAAGTTAAATAACGTTAGAAATAAGAAAATTTGTTAAAAATTGTTTGTCATGGGAGGTGTTCGTGTATAAAAGAAAATTTTCCTAAGTTATGGAAGGTGTTCACGTATAGACGTCTTGTATGGAGGAAGCTGCCGGAGGTACATACCTGCAGTTGTACATATATATGGGGTGGTCGGGAGCCCGACTGCCTGAAGTACTGTAGCACAATGACTAGTCCTATATTAGGGACTTATGATATTAAACTCAATGATACAAAAGCAATACTATAGAAGGTCTCCATGATGAATTTGCATTACAATAGTAGGGTCGTGGATTCGAACCCTATATATTAATAAATGACTTATAAAAGTAAGGTATATGATCCAAAAGCAATACTATAGAAGGTCTCTATGATTAATATGCATTACAATAGTAGGGTGGTGGGTTCGAATCCTATATATGAATGACTTATGAAAGTAAGATCTATGATACAAAAGCAATATTATAGGAGGTCTCCTTGATGCATAAGCATTGTATGTGGTGGTCGGGTGACTGACTTCTCTTAGTACTGTAGCAAAATGACTAGTCCTTATTAGGGACTTGAAAAGGAATATTATGGTGGCGTGTGTGCTGCTTCACGAGCAATTGGTCCGAGGTAAACTTGGACTCGCTAACCGATGTGTCCTAGACATATCATCTTAGTGCCGGTGGTAAGCGGGTTTGTTGTAGCAATACGGCTTTCCCGTGGACATCGCACACCCATACCGTTTGTGGGCGGCGTAGTAGCGCATAGCGATGCGTCGTCTATAGTTCGGATTGGGATGATGAGTGTGTTTGGTAGCACTTTTAAGTGTAGCAGGCATACTCAACTTCATGTCTTAGTGCATTAACGCTATGATACGTGGAGTTTTGTTCAATGGCGTCTTAGTAGCGTGCTACTATGATACGTTGGTGATATTTTTTATATAACAACAATAGAAACTTTGTTGCCAAAATCGATAGGAGTCACGTGGGTGTGTTGTGAGGGGGCGCCACCCGTATGATAGTTGCATTGATGCTTACTGCTACTTGCGGTATTGCGTCTTGTGATGGATCTGCGGGTGTGCTGCGCCTGATTTGACGCATTCCTGTTGTTCTATTCGAAGGAGATATGCAGGTGGTAATGTCTGCTGGGATGTATGGGGGACCTTGGGATGGTGTAAGCCCGACGATAGTCGTACTGATGCTTGTTGCGTTCTGCAGCATTGCGTCTCTGCGATGGTTGTTTGGTGGGACGCTATTCTCAATGGCGCTCTCTGCGTCTTGGTTTAACTCACACCTAAGTAGCTTTGCACAAGTCGGGTCCCTTCATTGCCGGGCTGCAGACTGTCTGCCCTCCACGATGTTTTATATAACAACATAATATTATATCTCTGTAACTTTCCCACCTTTGAATGATTGAAGGCAACTTGTCGGTGGGTGAGACAAACATGATCGAAAATGCATTTATTCAACGTCAGTGACACAAACCCTTTCCGATGGCGAATTATTACTCTTATCTTATAACTGCCTTTTGGCTATATCTGCCATTGTATTGGTTGGTGGAGCATATGTGTCGACCTCATGCGGTGGTAGCTGGCGGGAGGATCTGAGGAGACTCTCAAGGCTGCGGCCGAAAGCCGCACAACGTGGGACCCCATTCCCTTGAGGTGAGCGGTAGACTCATGACACGCTCTGCGGCTAGTAGCCGTGCTGATCATGCAATTGGTGGTGATGCCATACACTTACATCACGTCTGCAGGAGCGGCGGTCTGGCAGGTGGTGGCGCTCACGGAGGGTTTACGGACAGTGTGCCTATTTGCCTAAACCGTGTGACGTACATTCACTGTGGCTGGATTCGTTCGTATTCTGTTTGGCGTTTACACGCATTGACATGCGCGACTTCGGTCGATGTTTGTGCTTACGCACTAGCAAGGGGCCAAGCCTCTTTTACTGGTTCGCCAGTTATTTTGCTGTGGACTACGGTCCAGTTCCCGAATTAGCTTTCCCTTCGGGGGGGAGTGCATCAAAATGGTTGGCGCTCACCGTGCACGGCGTGTGTGCGGCCGTGTACCTCCCCTACATTTTTTTTAAATAAATGTAGGAGAGCGAAGCCCTTGTATCGGGTATTTTTGTATAAATATATTGTGAGCCTTTTTCCAAGCGGGAAGGGATAAATAATAATAAATTAATAATGTCAACCTGATACAAGTGGAATAAAGACGTTTTACGTTCTTAACCTTTCTCGAGCCCTGTCTTCGTGAACGGGGTTCACTTAGCTTATAAGGCACTACCAACAGCTTTCAATTGCTCTAGCGAATATTCATTCTTCCAAAAGACACCTAAAAGAACTAAGTTACTAAACAAACACAACGTAAATAAGGGTCCTAACTAAGACGATCACGCCAAAATATTACAAACGGCCTATTATTAAACCTTTAGAAAGATCATTTAGAAAGATCTAAATATAATTTATTAATCCTGGTCACATATATATAATTTTTAATATAAAGGGGAATATAATACATTTAGTATTTTATATATTTATTACTATGAGAGGGGGAGAGCGTTACATTGTGTAGACACGTGATGGGAAGGTATTTGCTCGAATCTGTGGTATTCTGATCTTTAGGAACCAAATGAGTGATCCCAGTAGTGAAGAGGCTCGGGAGCAAATTCTAGTTGAGAGCCTCTTGGAACTGTCGGGCGAGCATAGCGTGACACACTACGAACCCCTTCAGACAGTAATGATGCAGCCCGTCAAGCCCCGGACTTTTTCAGTTCGGGGCCCTACGGACCGCCCCAGCCACGTTTTCTGGCTTTATGGTGACGGGGTCCACAGGCATAACACTCGCACTCTGGCTCACCACAACTTCAATCCATGGGCCCTCGTTGTGGTTTACGGTTCTGATCACAGGCCGCATGGCCACGGCCAGGCCCGCTCTACATAACTCTAGTCACTCTAATGATTTATAGAGCCTCTTCTGATCACTCTAGAAGAGACGATTCTGGTTGAACCGCCTTGACCTCTCGCTAAATCGTCGAATCCGCTTCCCTCAAGCAGCGATTTTTTGCTTCAGGTCATCTAGGCGCTACGTTAGTTTCTGCGTGATATCCGGCTGGGACAAACTAATATTTTTCCCAGCAAATGCCATTCTAACGGTGCGCACAACTCTCGGTCTATTATTACCATTCCTAAAGCTTGTCAGTCTGCCGATAAGGGCCCTTGCCTTTGCGATACGGTCCTCAATTCTCTTTTTCCAGGCTGGGTTCCCGTTACTTTGTCGAGTAGCACGTCCAGCCGTAGGAAGTTGGGCGCCAATAATATGGCATACTGCCAGTGTGGTGCCGAAAAGAATAGAGTACGTTTCACAAAGGTCCCGGCTGGCTTCCAAATAGGTCACCAGCATTTGGTTAAGAGCCCGCACGACAGCCCGATTTCGCTTGCTAAGCGGTATGGGGGAAGTCGCAGTCGATTTTCGAGAGGCATGCTGCGCGTTTTGAGCATCGACTCTTCCAATATGCTCCTCATTTTCTCTAGTTCGTGGGGGACTATTCCATCATCGTCTGAATCAACCACAAATGGAATATTGACGGCAGCATCCACATTTGCAGTTTGCTGCGCAATTAGTGGCGCCGCATTCCCAGCCGTAGCATTTCCATCCGATGAGGGAACAGCCTCACGTCGTAGTCGTTCGAGTTCGGCGTCACCAAATATGTTGGAGCGCAGGATGTACCGAACTCGGTCCGCCAGGTTTTGCTCAGTGACGGACTGATTGACTGCGCCGAAGTAGTAGTTTTGTTACATAACTGTTACGTCAGCGGGCGATGGGGTCGTCACTTCCCTACGCCTTATTATTATTATTATTATTGTGGGGTATCAACATAGTTTTCTCATCTGGTTGGGTTCTATAAATATATAATTATAAATGAAAATGAAAAGATAAATATACATAAATATCAATAAAATAAATTAAATATAAAAATAAATAAATAAATAAAAACCCAACCAGATGGAGGCCCTCAGCAGGGGAGACCAAACGGCCGAGGGTTAGGGGGAAAGGGAAAGAAACAGGCGGACGATGCGGGTGGTATCGAGGAGGATCGCCTTCTGCATTTGAGCCTGGAGCGGTCCGCCACGTAGTCCCAGCCGCCTCATATGACACGAGAGGCTGACTGGAATTAGCCCGTTCGCAGAGACGACTACAGGAATAATTTCGGTCGGCAGACCACCCCACATATCGGTCACCTCTTGAGCCAGGTCCAGATATTTTGTTTGCTTATCTGTTTCGGCTTTCACGAGGTTCTCGTCATACGGAATGGTAATGTCGACCAAAAATATGACCGGTCTATCAGCACAACATCAGGCTTATTCGCAAGAATAGTCCTATCTGTGATGATGGCCCGGTCCCAATAGAGCCTGGCGCGATCATTTTCGAGCACGGCTTCCGGCAAGTACTTGTAATACGGCAATTTCCGATCCACGAGACCGTATTTCAGAGCGAGCTCCTGGTGAAGAATTCTGGCTACTAGGTTGTGCCTATGCAAGTACTCAGAGTTAGAAAGCGCCGAACAACCGGAGATGACATGCCTAAGTGACTTCCCGGGATGGCGACAAGCTCGACAGATATCGACGGTGCCATCCTTTAGGATGTACTTCCGATAGTTGTTGGTCTTAATATCGTGATCCTGTATTGCACAGACAAAACCCTCGGTTTCCCCGAGGAGATCGCCAAAGCGTAGCCAGTTATGGGAGGCTACTGTGTCTACGAAAGGCTCATGTAGGGCCTTGTAGCTCCTTCTCCTTCTATACGATCTCCCGGTCGGAAATGCTCTGCACCGTCGGGTCGTGCCATTGCTCGTTGGCTAAGGATAGAGGGGTAAGTCCTTTATCACAAGAAATGACGTCCTTATAAAATGGATCATCCAATCTCGCCAGGAAGTAATCACGGAGGCTGCACACTTCGCGATTATGCAAGCAAGAAGCCACGACCACCATGCTTCCGGGGCAAGTACAGCCTCATTACCGACGATCTCGGATGATGCATCCTATGGGATGTCATGGTATTGTAGACTTTTCTATCCAGGGCGTTAAGTTCAATCTGAGTCCACCTGAGTATGCCAAAGGTATACATGAGGACAGGCGTGACCCAACCGTTATATGCATGTGCCTTATACACACCGGACAAAAGGCTGTTAAGCACTTTGGTCAAGCGTGCATAAAACACGCCGCAAACTGACTATTTCATATCAGTCTCATCGATACCGATGTTTTGTGACATACCCAGGTATCGGTATGTTTCAGCCTCGGAAAGGGTTCTTAAGTTGACGGGCATAGATAAGTCTATGCCCTCAGAGTTAGCAACCCTTCCCCTTTTAACATGGAGGACCACACACTTATCCGTCCCCAGCTCCATTCCAATGGAATTGCTAAATTCACAAGTATTGTTTAGCAATTCCATAAGATGGGAGCGATTGGAAGCGAATAACTTGAGGTCATCCATATAGAAAAGGTAGGTCACTTTTGTCCCTCCTTTCCGTAGCAGAAATCCCCTCCCGGAGCCCTCCAGTAAGGTACTGAGAGGGTTCAGAGAGAGGCAGAACCAGATAGGAGTCAGACAATCACCCTGGAAGATACCCCTTCTTATCCTTATGTGTTTATCCGCAGCCATCCTCCGCTCGCCCAGATGACAAAGGATCGTACTCCACTGCCCCATACACTGCTCTAGGAAGTCTCTAACTGTACAGTCTATATTGTACAGCTCGATGACTCTCTTTATCCATGTATGGGGCACCGAGTCGAATGCCTTTCTGTAGTCTATCCAGGCGGAGGGAAGTTCCGACGGTTGCGTATCACCACTTTGCCAATGACCGCGTCAATGAGGAGTGGTTCCTTTGTTCCACGACCACCGCCCCGACATCCATTTTGAGCGCGCGACATCACCTGATTTGAGTCCAGGTGACGAGTGATTCTCGCGCTCAAAATGGATGTTAGTGTCTTTATATGGTCGGTAGACACGTGATGGGGTGGTATTTGCTCGGGTCTGTGGTACCCTGGATTTTAGGTACCAAATGAGTGATCCCAGTAGTGAAGAGGCTTGGGAGCGACTTCTGGTTGAGAGCCTCTTGAAACTGTCGGGCGAGCACAGAGTGACACACCATGAACCCCTTCAGCCAGTAGTGATGTAGCCCGTCAAGCCCCGGACTTTTCCAGTTTGGGGCTCTACGGACCGCCTCAGCTACGTCATCCGGTGATATGATGAAGGTGTCCATGGGCGTAATACCCGCACACTGACTCGCCACAACTTCCGTCCAAGGGCCCTCGCTGTGGTTTACGGGCTCTTACCACAAGTCGCGAGAGAATGCTACAGTGTCGGCCTGATTCTGTGCTGGGCCCGTTCCACTTACTATTGGTCTCTCCAATGATACATAGAGCCTCTTCTGATCACTCTAGAAGAGACGATTATGTTTGAACCGTGTCGCCCTCTCGGTATATCGCCGAATTCGCTTTCCCCAAGCAGCGATTCTCTGCTTCAGGTCGTTTATGCGCTCCGTCAGTTTTTGCATTATATCCGGCTAGGAAAACTAACATTTGTCCCAGCCAACGCCATCCTGACGGTGCGCACAATTCTTGGCCTGTTGTTGCCAGATCTGAAGCATATTAGTCTGCCGATTAGAGCTCTAGCCTTTGCGATACGTTCATCAATTCTTCTTCTCCATGCTGGGATAGCGCTATGGCCAGAAGCGCGTCCAGCCGTGGAAACCTTGGCGCCTATGATACGGCAGACTGCCAGGGCGGCGCCAAAAAGAATTGAGTCCGTCTCGCAAAGGTCCCGGCTGGCTTCCAAATAGGTCACCAGCATTGGGTTCAGAGCCCTCACGACAGCCCAATTCCGCTTGCTTAGGGATATGCGGGGAAGTCGCGGTCGATTTTCGAGAGGCGTACTGCGCGTTTCCACAGTCGCCTCTTCCAATGTGCTCCTCATATGCTCTAATTCCAGTTCCTGGGCGACTGTTCCATCATCGTTTCAATCAACCACAAATGGGGTATTCACGGTGGCATCCACGTTTGCGGGTTGCTCTATCATTTGTTGCGCTGAATCCTCAGACGTAGCATTTTCACCCCATGAAAGAACAGCCTCACGTCGTAGCCCTTCGAGTTCGGCGACATCAAATATATTTGAGTGCAAGATATACCGAGCTCGGTCTGGCAGGTTTTGCTCTGTGACGGTTAAAGATGGCTCCAGCTCAGCAAAAAGACGATACATCCTAGCCCGGTACGCCAAACATCCAGTTTCTTCCCCTTTTGCCCTAAAGTACGCACGCAGTGCGTTTGTATTCATTGCTTGTGACCAACGCATGCGACGTGCTCCACCAGCGGCGGGTGCCGTTTGCTGAGTCCGAGAAGACCAAGCCGACACCAAGCCTTCTGTTGGGGATGATGGATGCGGAGGGCTGCTAGGTGACTATGCAGATCCTCGCGCTCGGCTGGCGGCCCCCATGCTGCCGCGTCCAGCGCCACTCCAGACGCGCCCCGGCGACCCCCAGGCAGCGGCCCTTTGCGCACTATCTTCTTATCCATCATCTATTATTTGGGCGTCCATTAACGGGAGACGCCCTGGCCCAGCACCGTTTCGTGTGTGGCCATAAGCAAAGACGGGCCTTTGCGTCCTAAATTCTGCCGAGGCACGGCGCTCACACCTCTTGCAAGGCGCTGACTGACTGCGTTGACGTAGCAGTTTTGTCAATTGACTGTTACGTCAGCGGGCGATGGGGTCGTCAATTCCCTACGCCATTTTATTATTATTGTGGGTTATCTATATAGTTTTCTCATCTGGTTGGGATCTATAAATATATAATTATAAATAAAAATGAAAAGATAAATATATACATAAATATCAATAAAATAAAATAAATACAAAAATACATAAATAAATAAAAGCCCAACCAGATGGAAGCCCTCGGCAGGGGAGACCAAACGGCCTAGGGTGAGGGGGAAAGGGAAAGAAACCGACGGATGATGCGGGCAGTATCAAGGAGCACCGCCTTCTGCATTTGAGCCCGGAGCGGACCGTCACGGAGTCCCAGTCGCCTCAGATGACCAGAGAGGCTAACTGGGATTAACCCATTCGCAGAGACGACTACAGGAATAATTTCGGTCGGCAGACTACCCCACATGTCGGTCACCTTGTGAGCCATGTCCAGATATTTTGATTGCTTATCTGTTTCGGCTTTCACAAGGTTCTCGTCATACGGGATGGTAATGTCGACCAAAAATATCCTTGACTGTGCCCGGTCCATCAGCACAATATCAGGCTTATCCGCAAGAATAGTCCTATCTGTGATGATGGCCCGGTCCCAGTAGAGCCTGGCGCGGTCATTTTCGAGCACGGCTTCCGGCAAGTACTTGTAATACGGCAATTTCCGGTCCACGAGACCGTATTTCAGAGCGAGCTCCTGGTGTAGAATTCTGGCTACTAGGTTGTGCCTGTGCAAGTATCAACAACCAACCAACCAAACCCCCCCGAAGCCAAAGTAAATGCAGCGTGTGGTGTGTCGTGTTGTTCATGTGTTTTGATGAGGTCCTATTTCGTTTTCTTCTATCTGTATGAATTTCCTAACTATTCTGCATGTATTTAATATAGCTGCTTTTTGAAGTGTAATATATAAAGTTTCTTTTAGTTGTAATAATTTTAAGCTACGGAGGAGATGATTTGGGAGGACACCTGTTGTGGAGAGGACTATAGGGACCAAATATACTTTTTCTTGTTGCCAGATTCTAGTCACTTCATCTTTAAGTTCTGCGTACTTACTAATTTTTTTAGTTATCGTCTTCTGCAAGTTGTGTGTGTTGGGGACTGCAATGTCTATCAGGCAAGTAATATTATTTATTTTATTTTGTAGAATTATATCAGGTCGATTATAGTGGATTGTCCTATCGGTGAGAATGCCGCGGTCGTAAAAAAGTTTATGTGTGGTGTTTTCTAGAGTGGGTTTTGGTGTATAATTGTAGTACGGAGTTAGTATTGGCATTTTGAATGAGTGCGTGTTTGAGTGCTAGTTTTTGTTGAATGACATTGGCCACCTGGTTGTGTCTGTAAGTGTAGTCAGTCTGTGTAAGAGTTGTGCATGCGCCTGTGATGTGTTGAATGGTTTCTGGATGTGTGTGGCATTTGCGACATTTGTTATTATTTACTGTAGGATCTTTGATTATATATTTTCTGTAATTTTTTGTGTTTATGATCTGGTATTGAATAGCTATTATAAATCCTTCTGTTTCTGGGAATAAGTTGCCTATTTTCAGCCACTTATTTGAAGCTTACTTATTATGTGGGATTGCTCTAAGTCACGAGGGTGCCGACCGTGGAGAACTTTCTTCCTCTGTTCGTCAATTTTGTGTGTCTGTGGGTTATCACCGGTAGTGTTTTGGGGTTCAATCTGATTGCTTAAGTTAAGTGGAGTGTAGTTAATATCATTCGTTACGATGGCTTTATGAATATTGCTAGTATGGGATTTTGTATAGAAGAATGATTTTAATCGACTAACTTGTTTCCCCCATAGGTGCTGGATATCTATTATGCCTCTCCCTCCATGTTCTCGTTTTATTGTTAGTCTCTCTATGGCGGATTTTGGGTGTAGGTTGTTGTGTTTCGTGAGTGTTGTACGTGTAGTTCGCTCTAATTGTTCTGCGTCAGTTTTGGACCACTTTTAATTCCGAATGAGTACGTTAATATGGGGATGGCATAGGTGTTAATGGTTTTTATGAGATTTTTACTTGAAAGTTGAGTTTTATAAACAGCGTTAAGTCTTCTCTTGTACTCCGTAGTGAGAGAATTTTTAATCCGTACATGGTCAAGACTTTTAAGTTGGACATACCCTAAATATTTGTATAAATCAGTCGATTCCGTTGCTGTAATAGCGTCCGTTTAATTTACTACATAGTCGCCGGGCCTTACTTTGCCTCTTACAATGTGAAGTGTTTTACATTTATCTAAACCAAAATGCATATTAATATCGCTACTGAATTCTGTTGTTATATCTATTAATTTCTTCATATACTTGTCTGTTTTTGCATATAATTTGATGTCGTCCATGTATATAAGATGCGATATTGTTGTTTCGTCTGTATTAAGTTTGAGGCAATATCCGGCCCCGCAGCTCTGCAGCAAATGAGACAGAGGGTTTAGGGCGAGACAGAACCACAGTGGGCTCAGGTGATCCTTTGTTGTGTGACCTTGGTAGATGCCTTTTGTAATTGATGCCTTTGTGACCTTGGTAGATGCCTTTTGTGATTGAGATTTGTCGCGTGGTGATAGTATTTTGGTTACAATTTATTTGTAGTTTTGTTTTCCATTGTAATATTATTCGGCGTAAGAAATCGATTATTTTCGGGTTTATTCTATAAATTTCTAATATTTTTAATAACCGTGAATGAGGAACACTGTCAAACGCTTTTTTATAATCAATATAGGTGCAATGTAAATTTCTATTATAGAGGTGGCGTGTTTATGAATAGTGGAATCAATTATCAGCTGTTCTTTACATCCCATGTGGCCCTGTCTACATCCCTTCTGTTCTTCTGCTATTATATTGTGGTGTTCAATGTGCGACTGAATTTTCTTTAGGATTGAAGATGTCAATATTTTGTAAATTGTGGGTAGGCATGTAATTGGTCGGTATTGGGAAGGCTGAGGTGAATTTTTTGTTTTAGGTAGCATATAAGTAATTCCTTCCTTATAATAAATTTGGGAGTGTTCTGTTGTCCTGTTATTATATCTGTTAAACTTCTTGCTAAAGGTATGTTAATTTTTGTACCAAAAATTATGAATTTTGTCTATACCAGGTGATTTCCAATTATGTAACCTAGCTGTAATGAGTGTTATGTGTAACTCTGTTACGTCTTCAAATACCATTTCGTCAATATCTCTCCATTTTGCTTCCTCTTCATTTATCCAAGATGCTTTGTCGTTATGTTTTTTTTTTGCTCTTCCCAAATACTCGCCCAATATGCTTCTAGTTGTTCTTTTGTAGGTAGGTTAGGTGTACGTATGTTACGTTAATCCATTGTGTCTGTTTGTGGTTTGTGTAAGTTTCTATAAAACAATTTTTCGTTTGTGGCAAATGTGATGTTATCTTTTTTACGCTGTTGTGCTTTTTTATACCTTTTGAGCCTATGAACTTTAAGTCTTAACTTTTGTTTTAACGTGTCTCAAAAATTCTTCAGGTCTTGTGTTACTCTTTTCGTGTCTGGTATGCGTAGCATTATTCCTAAATATGACCTCTACTTTTTTGATTAGTTTATTAGATCTACAACCGTTAATATACTGAGCGAGTCTACCTATGTTTGCTCTTAATTTTTCAATGTGTTTTTTTAGTCTCTGTTGCCATGCTGGTTCTGTATTTTGTCTTGTTCTTGTAGTTCTTGCATTGTCTGTGATTTTAAAGTTCAATTCTTCGGATATTACTACCGCTGTGCAATATATAAGTAAATGTATGTCTATAAGTTGTGTGTCATCGGATATATATTGTGTGAGTATAGTTTCATTAAATAACTTAACCAGTCGAAACAGGTTAGGTGTGTACTTAAGTTTGGGTAATCTTGGTCGTGCTGCGGGATCCATCCCAGAGTATAACGTTATTGTTGTTCTAAATTTCTCATT